GGTTCTGCTCCTCTTTTCTTCCTTTTTCCAGCTTCGGTCTTCCAGGTAATTGTGCATCCAGTCCCTCAACTTTTATCTTACATATTTTGGTCCTCAAACTTTTACTTTCCTTTAAACCACATCCTCCAAAAATTTCAATTTAGGTCCCTAAACTTTCACACTTGTATATTTTGGTCCCCAAAATCATGCTTTTGTACACTTTCGGTCCTTTTTTTTTTTTTTATTCCTTTGGCTTTCTTCTCCTCCAATTTGGGATTTTAGCCTACAAAAGCGACAATTACACAATTATGAATAGGAATTCGCTCAATTTCATCAATAATTAGCTCGTTAAATTGCCAATGTTTGTTCTTGGTCATACTCTATTCACTATACTAAATCATAGTGCCACATCATCCATAACTGTATTAATTTATTTTCCTTCAGGAAAGTCCAATGAAATGAAGACATTCAGTTCATGTTCCATTTTCATTTAAAGAAGGAAAAGAAAGAGACAAGAATCTGGTGCTAATGAATTCATCCTCTCTGTACTTTCCTCAAGTTTTCTTAAAGTGTCCAAAAGTATTAAAATCTTGACCAAAGAATGCCCTTCTTTTTTCCAACCCATTTACTAAATATCCACAAAGAATTTCTTCTTGAACAAGAAAATGTGGTTCTGGTTCTCACTAATCAGAGAATGAGATTCCCGCAGCTGAAATCTGATTGGATTTAAGACTTTTAAGGCACTCTGGTACCTGATACCACCTGATTTAGGACTTTTGATGCACTCTAGAATTAGATACCTTCTCAGAACATCAGGCTTCTAGTTCTCATTGCTGTTATGCAACGAAATACCAGCGCCTCATGAGACACCTCGTTTATGATAATTCAAAGGCGATTAAGTAAATCCCTTTTCGACTCTGTTCAGTCTACTGCTGGATCTTGCTGGAAGATCTGCTTTTTGAGCTTTGTTGATCTTATCTTTTCCTGAACTAGAAAGGGAAAGTAAAAACTTCAATGAGGTCCCAAACACCGAATACACAAGTTAAGCTTTTGTTTCCAATAAATTTAGGGTCGTCAACATGAGTTCTTTTTCAGCACTCCGTTCAAAAAAAAAAAAAAAAGATTTGTGAGAGTCAAACCTCTGTCTATTACTTGTATGGCATCCTGAACTATGATTATAATATACATCTAAGTTCAGAAAGATGGGAATCATAGGTTGGAATCCCATTTAAAAGTTTTTGTCTGGCATACGGAGAATTCACAGGAGAAAATCTTGATCAAGCAGCTAAATCTTCGTTAATCTTTTCCCATTATATAGCCTTGCATTTTGCTTTCTTCTCTCCATCACACTAATATCTAAGCACAGCAAAACATCTGTAACACAGAACCAGCAATGGCAAAAAACCAAAACCACAAAAATTCCGAAGGTGTGTGTGAGAAGATCTTTAATGCTATTTCTGGCAGACGAAAAAATCATCATGATCATTCCTCAGTGTCTAGTGAAACTGCTCCAAAATCTCGAGTTCAAGGCACTGATAATCCCACAAAAGCTAGCTTTCTGAACCAACCAAACCACAGAATGATCCCCGTTGAATTTGAACCTTCCATTAGGCCATCTCCAATGACTCAGAAAGAAAATATGCAACCAGTCATGAAAAATGCAGGGAGAGAAGATGGTACTAAATGCGGTTCTGAGGTTTCTTTACAAGACTTAGTGATCAATGGAGAATGTCATGGTCTAAAGGGTAAAATAAAACCCAACACTCATGGCCAAGTCGAGAAAGTTGCTTCAATGAAAGATAAACCTCGTGTTTCAGTGGAGGAAAAGCCAAAGTTGAAGGGGAAGATGTCTTCAATGGGGAAGACCAAGTCCACAAAGGAGAAGGCGATACAAGTAAAAGGCGACGAAGACAAAAAAATTGTACTCAAAAGTGCGAAAAATAAGTTCTCGGATTATATTGACCATGTGAAGAAAAAAATGGGGACTGTGCCGTATGTTGATGGTGATGGGGGTGGAAGAACTGGTACCAAAAGAGATAGCTTCAATGATAAGGCGTCGGAAACTGCACAAATGTGAAAATCCGAACCACGTCAAATGTTGGTGATGGAAAAGTAGCTCAAAGATTGCAAAACTTATTTAAGCATGATTATATTTTACCTATCTATTAATATGCCTACACGAATTAGCTTAAACTAATGAGTGTTAAGAACAATGTATACAAGAAAGAGAGAGCTTTTCAAAGCTGTGATTCTTATGTAATCCATAAACTATGCAATTGTCTTAATAAAATATGATTGTTAAAAAATCCTTGAACTCTATAATGTAATGTTGTTTCCTTTGTGGGTGCATTAATTCATGCAATAAAAATAACTTATTCAGTTCTTCAATTTGCTGCTGTTTATGAATTTTTTGTCCCAGAATAGCATGATAAAAGTTATCTTCATAAGTTGATGCCAAATGACTTCTTCTACTATTTGAGGATGAATAATCTACATGGTGCAAACCTAAATAATCATGTCAAAAATCTTAAGATTCAACATACTCCTTTACATGTAGGCTGAATTCATTTTTCATTTTTAAGTCCTCACATGTGCATATCGTAAAATTTTAAACGAGACGATTCAACAATATATAAGAGCATGGTGAAGCCCCCGTTATGGAAACATGCAAAAGTCCATAAAAGGGTGCAGCGGAAACATGGGCGGACCAACTTGGGGTCATGTGACCACAAAAAAGTTCTGGTTTTTTTTTTTCTTCTTCTTCTTCTACATTTGCCATTTCTCTTGTTATAACTGACCCCATAATATGGAATTAATATTATTATAACTAACAATTAAAATGAAGGTAGACCAAAGTTTATAGAGCTGCCTTCTCTCTTTCCCTTTTTAGTTTTTTCTTCCTCTTTGTTCTTTTTTTTTTTTCAAACTTTATTTTAGCTCTCTTCGTTATTTTTTGTTTGTTTCTTCTCTCCACGTTCTCTCATTGTAAGTCTATCTTAATTAAAAAAGACTTGTTCACCTAGTTTCACTTCCTTTTTGGTAGCACATATTGAGCTCGACTATAGAGTTTGAATCCTCGATAAGTATATTTATGCAATTCGACATTGGCAGATCCAAGATCGATAAAAATTTCTTTTAACGGGGCTAATAGGTAAAAAAACTTACACATAAAATATATTTTACACAAAAAATATTTAAAAAAAGTGGGCTGGGAGTTGTAAAGAAATTAAGCAGTAGGGAAATAACTGTTTCATTATGTATATTGAAAATACGTACTAAACGAAATTTATAATGAAGATATTATGACTTATTAAAAGTACGAAAACTAATAAGGAATAATTGTAGGCATGAGATTTAATATTACATTTTTGTCTTATTTGGCAAAAAACTTGTTAGTTAAATTTTGACCCAACTGAGACTGAATACTAGGTCCACCCTTGAGCAGATAGAAACCTTTTATGTAAACTTACCTTTGCTATGAACTTCTTTCCTATCAAAAATTTTAATGATGTGTTAGGTTTGTTGTTTTCAAGCTATTTTCAGTTTTGTAAAACATTGAAAACGTGTTTGATATGATATTTCTGAAAATGCATTTTCGAAAATAAGGTTAAATTTGTAATATAAAATTCAAAACGGGTTTTTGACTTTTTGAGAAGTAATTTTTCGAAACAATAAATTAAACGCATTTTTAACAATCTTAAAATAGACCCTCAAAACAGAAAATTGAAAATGATTTCAAAATTCAAAACTGAAACACAAATCAAACGACCCTAAAATTCTTCTAATATTTGTTTGTTGATTCCATTGCTTCGGAGGATGCCAACCTTTGCCCAAAGAAGACCCACGGAATTTAGAGTCGATTATACAAATCTCTCTTCATTACTCCGTTCTACCATTGCAACTTTGGTGACCGTCCAATAAATCAACACATTTTCGTCATATTCCTTTTCATATAGTGAAAAAAAGAGACAAATATCTGGTGCTAATTTTATCCTCTCTGTACTTTCCTCAAGTTTTCTACTGAAAATAATGTCTACACCTTTTGGACAATTCTATTCTTTTTTCTACCCCATTTCCTAAATATCTACAGTAGAATTTAAGCATATACTTTCTTCTTGTACAATAAAATCAGGGTCTGATTTCACTAATCCGAAACTGGTATTCCCACAGCTGAAATCTTATTAGATTTAAGACTTTTGATGCAATCTGGAACTAGATTCCACCGACACTGATGTTCACATCACTAACTGGAATATCAAGCTCATTTGATTTAGGACTTTTGATGCACTTAGGAATCAGATACCATTGCTGTTATGCAACGAAACATCAGTGCTGTGTGAGCAAACAACAACTACAACAAATAAATCAAGTCTCGTTCTCAATAAATTTAAGATCGACTACACAAAACATTTTCCCCACTTCGTACGGTTCTTCTATTAAGTCTAAAACTAATCCAAAATGCAAGAGCAAACATAAAGTGAACACGCACATGAAATGATACAGTTTAACCTTCATTGTGAGAGTTATGTCCACTTAACGCTACAAGTTTTCTTTAAAATAGAGATCTAACACTTTGCTAATATAGTTTACGAAATTAAGGCGATATGCAGTCGAGGGGAAGTGAATAGTATAATTAAACTCCACAAACTTTAACACATTCGTTACTAGATGTTCCGGATGATCTACGATGCTTGTGAGACAGCTAAGGAATATTTCAATAATTCATTCATCTGTTAGTTCTGCCGCCTAAGTTATGCCTTATTAGTACTTTTATTTTCTGGAAAAAGGCAAAAGGAATTTTCAATGAGGTCCAAAACTAATGACTAATAATATATATTTAAAATGGGAAAGAAAGTATCTCTAGTGCCAATTGGAATCTTTGGTGGGAATTCCCCTATAAAATCATGATTAAACAGCTAAACCTTCACTTATCCTTCCTCATTAAATTCCCTTGCATTTCCATTTCTTCTCTTCATCTCACTGATTTCTGATTGACTAAGCTTCTGTAATACAGAGCAGCAATGGCACAAAACCAAAACAACAAAAACTCTGAAGGTGTGTGTGAAAAAATCTACAATGCAGTTTCTGGTGGTCGAAAACTTCACCTCATTTCGCATCATGCTCATGCTCAGGGTTCAGCACCTAGAGATAATCCCAGGAAACCAAGCCACAGAATGATTCCTATTGAATTTGAACCTTCCATTAGGCCATCTCCAATGAGTCAGAAAGAAAATATACAAACAACTACAAAAAATGATGGAAAAGATGACGGTACTAAACGTGTTTCTGAGATTTCTGTACAAGAAACAGCGATCAATGAAGAATGCCATCACCTAAAGGGAAAAATGGAAGGCAAAACTCAAGGCCAAGTTGAGAAAGTTCCTTCAACGAGAGATAAACTGCCCAGTCGTGCTTCAATGGAGGGAAAAACAAAGTTGAAGGCGAGGATGGCTTCAATGGCGAAGACTAAGTTCTCAGATGAATATAAGAAGATTGAACCCAAAAAGACGAATGATAAGTTCTCAGATTATATTGATAGTGTAAAAAATAAAATGAGGACTGTGTCAACTGTTGTTGGTGGTGGTAGTGGCAGTGGAAGTGGTGGTGCTGGGGTTGGGGTTGGAAGGACTGCTACAAGAAGAGATAGCTTCAACAATAAGGTCTCAAGTTATATAAAGAAGACAAAGATGAAGATCCGAACGACGGCAAATTTTGATGGAAAGAGCAGCACATTCAAGTAAAGATTACAAAAGTGATTGTCAATAAGCATATGATTACATATATCTATTTATCTGCATACATGAATTAGCAGAAAATATTGAGTGTTACGAAGACTTTATACAGAAAGCCTGTATGAAGTTGATAAATTTATGAATGTTTTAATACAGGATTGTACTGTAATCCTTACACTACGTAATTTTTTATTATTATGAACTCCTTAAATTATATATGCGTTGTTGTTTCCTTCTTATGGGTGCATCCAACAATCGTAGCTTCTTTAATCTGTTTGTGCTTATTAATCTTGGTTCCAGATTTATTTTACACTAAAGATTTTAATGTTTTTAAATTTTGTAATGAGGTGGTTGAACATGGTATAAAAGCACGATGAAGCTCCCAAAACTGATAGAATTCCTGTCAAACAGTAAACTTTGCAATGAATGTTAAAAAAATTGAAAAATCAATCACTATCTTGAGGCTTCTTTTGTGTCATAATAAGATTTATCCTCTATTTGTTGGTTGACACCATTGCTTTGGAAGATGTTAACCAAATCAGTGTGCCCAAATAAGTCGGACGAATTGCATAGCAACAAATTAAGTCTCATTTTAGAGTCGACTATGTTTTGTCATGTTGGTCGATCCATGGCATTTTTAGACCTCAACAGACAGAAATCTGATGCTGACAAAAACCTTTGCAGTGAATGAGAAAAAAAATTGACAAATCAATTATTATCTTTGTCGCAGAAAGATGGCCACCAAGATGTATTTCCGGGCTCAGTATACCAACTCTCAACCTTATCAATCAGACAATCACCCAAACAAATTCGACTCAAAACCTTCAACTATTCTACACTCTGGTTGTTTTTGATTGTACCCACTTAGGACACAAAAAGGGAAGGTGTTTTGCAGCCACAAAGGCCAAGAAGAGAAGGGCAGCCGTGCACACAAAGCAAAGGAAGATGGAAGCCGTTTTCTTCAAAAAACAATGGCAAAACATGCGTGAATATCAAGACCAAGGCAACAATATATAGGTAGCATTAGGTATGAAAGTGGCCAAGCCCAATCCAATACATGGGCCAAGAACACCGAGTAGTGGGTCAATTATCGTAAGCCTTCCGAAAGGAGTGGGATTGACCACGAGCGTCTCTAATTAAAATTAGGTAGCTTCAAATCGCCCTAACTAGTTTTCGGGTCGGGTCATCAATCTTAGGTATCGACATTAATTTACCAATATCGGTTTAACACCATCACCCAGGATTTCTTGGGTATTAAAAAATCCAACAATCTTGAGACTTCTCGCCTATCAAAATACTAGGATCTTTATAGTGTTTGTTGGTTGCTTCCACTGCTTTGGAAAATGTCAACCAAAGCTCTGTGACGAAAGAAGTCCTAATTACTTCTTATTCTTAGTAAATTTGGAGTCGACTATACAATCTCTTTTCATCACTCTGTTTGATCCACGGCAACCTTGGTGACAGTCCAATAAAATCAATGCAGTCTCTTCAAGTTTCCTTTTCATTTGAGGATTGAAAAAAAAAAAAAAAAACAATAATCTGGTGCTAATAAATTCATCGTCTCAGTATTTTCCTCGAGTTTTCTTCTGAAAATGTCTACACTGTCGGGAAAGTGCGAACAAATTCTCGTGAGGTAAATTGTGTACTTATAAGTGATTGAGCCACCCAGCACACACTTTTTGGAACAGTAATAAAACTTGACCTTGGATTGCAATTCTTTCTTCTACCCCATTTCCTAAATATCTACCGTTGTGTTAATTATGTCCAGAATCTCTTACCAATTATTGGGAATTCAAAGATCACTTATCGTTCGATACCACTTGATATGAAACCAATCATTGGATTGAGATGTTGAAGTTACATGGCACGAAGAAGACAAGAAAATATAGCAGGGGAATTAGAAGATTTTATTGCACCAATAATAATGGAGAAAAGAGAAAATTATAATGGATCATATAATTTTAGTAATTTATTTTCTCACACTATAAAATTGTATAGAAGAGCTAATATATATGGATCATGTATAGGACGTTCAAACCCTCTTAGTAGAGTTGTTGATGAGGTAGGATGCCAAAAAATCGAGTCTAAAACGAAAAAGGAGAAAAAAATCCGAAACAGCTCAAGTGGGCGCCCTGCTCGAAAATAATTTTTTTTGTTCCCAAATTGTTTTCTCTATCCCGAATTCTTCTTCAAGTCCAATACCAAATTTCAACTGGACTTCCCAAATATAACTTCAACTTGACTTAGGACTCAAATAACAGTCCAAACTGAATTCTTCTTGACTTGCGCTTCAATTAGAATTCTTCAACAAAGAATTGGGGTCACACCCAAATTCTAACATCTACAATAGCATTTAAGTATATACTTTCTTGAATTAATCTATTCTAGTACAGAAAATGTGGTTCTGGTTTTCACTAATCAGGAAAAGAGACTCCCACGTCTGAAATCTGATAGGATTTAAGACTTTTGATGCACTATGGAACCAGATACCACCAACCTTGCCCTCGATTCTCAAACTTATTTGATTTAGGACTTTCAATGCATTCTGGAATCAGATACCACCTCAGGACTCCAACCCTTTAAGGTCCCGCGTTGCTGTTATGCAAAGAAATGTCGGTGTTGTGAGGGAACAACTACAACAACAAATCAAGTCTTGTTCTCAATAAATTCGCGACCAACTACACAAAACATTATCTTCACTTCGTACAGTGCTTCTACAAAGACTAAACCTAATCCCAAACGCGAGAGAGCAGACAAAAAGTAGATACGCAAACAGACACATAAATTTTAGTGTTTTATCCTCATTATGAAAGGTGTGTCCACTTGCTACTACAAATTTTTAACATAGAGATCACACACATCCCAGTCTTTTTACTTCGTATAGCGTAGGAAATTAGGGGGATACATAGTCAATGGAAGTGAATATTCTAATTCAACTCCACAAACTTCAACAATGTGAGACAGCTCATAAACATTTCAATCATTCATCTGTTAGTTCTGCTGCCTAAGTTATGCTTTATTAGTCCTTTTATTTTTTCTGGAAAAAGGTAAAATGAATTTTCAATGAGGTCCCAAACTATGACTATTAATATTTATTTAAACTGGGAAAGAAAGCATCTCTAGTGCCAATTGGAATCTTTGGTGGAAATTCCCCTATAAAAGCATGATTAAACAGCTAAACCTTCCTCGTTAAATTCCCTTGCATTTCCATTTCTTCTCTTCATCTCACTGATTTCTGAGTGCACTAAGTTTCTGTAATACAGAGCAGCAATGGCAAAAAACCAAAACAACAAAAACTCTAAAGGTGTGTGTGAAAAAATCTACAATGCAGTTTCTGGTGGTCGAAAAATTCACCTCATTTCACATCAAGTTCAGGGTTCAGTGTCTAGCGAAACTGCTATAAAATCCAGATTTCAAAACTCTGATAATCCCACAAAAGCTAGCCTTCCGAAGAAGCCGATTTTTCTAAACCAACCAAGCCACAGAATGATTCCTATTGATTTTGAACCTTCCATTAGGCCATCTTCAACGAGTCACAAAGAAAATTTGCAGACAGCTGCGAAGAATGCTGGAAAAGAAGATGGTACTAATCATGTTTCTGAGATTTCTGAACGAGAAATAGTGATCAATGGAGAATTCCATGGCCTAAAGGGTAAAATGGAAGGCAAAACTCATGGCCAAGTCGAGAAAGTTCCTTGGACGAAAAATAAACCTCCTTCATGCTTCAATGGAGGGGAAAACAAAGTTGAAGGGGAGGATGGCTTCAATGGCGAAGATTAAGTCCACTAACGACAATGCCAGACAAGAAAAAGGCGATGAAGTTAAGAAGACTGAACATAAAAAGGAGAAAGATGAGTTCTCGGATTATATTGACCATGTGAAAAACAAAGCGGGGATTGTGTCAAATGTTGGTGGTGGTGGGGTTGGAAGAACTGCTACATGAAGAGATAGCTTCAACAGTATGGTCTCGAGTTATATAAAGCGCGCACAGATGAAGATCCGAACAACGACAAATTTTGATGGAAACTGGAAAGAGCACACATTCCAGTGAAGATTGAAAAAATTGATTATGAATAAGCATATGATTACATATATATGTATATTGATCTGCATACATGAATTAGCTGAAAGTATTGTGTGTCAAGAACATTTTATAAGTTGATGAAGTTGTGATTGTTTTCATGCATCATAGTACTGTAATCCTAAAACTATGTAAGTGTTTGATTATTATATGATTATGTACTGTCGTTTCCTTTTTATGGATGCAATAACTTGTCCAATAATTATCTCTTCAAATAACTAATGCCAAGTGACAATATTCTTCAGGTTGAAATCTCGTGAACCACGACGTCTAAAAGCTTAAGATACTACATCGTTCCCTGAAACGTAGGCTGGATTCATTTTTCATTAAATCCCTGACACATGCTTAAATTTTGTGAATAGTAAAAGGTAGTTCAATATGGTATACCATAAACGCACAAGAGTTTGGAAAAGGGAGCAGCAGAAATGTTGCAACAGTTTCATATTTATACCTCAACTGACAAAATTCTGATGCTGACAGAAAACTTTGCAATGAACATGTGAAAAAATTTACAAATCAATCATTATCTTGAGGCTACTCTACAGTGTAAATAATAGGATTCTTCTAGCATTTGTTGGTTGATGACATTGCATGGTAATATGCCAACTAAAGGCTCGTTTGACAAGATTTTTGAAAAGTCAAAAACTGCTCTATTTTTTATTATGTTTGGATAAATTTTTGAATGTACTTTATCTGACTACAAAAGCTATAAGAAAAATATAAGGTAACTTTCTCATATAACACTTCGACAAGAAGCACAAGTCCAACCAAACGAGGTCTAAGACACTATGCCGAAAGAAATCCGACTAAATGCATAGTAATAAATTAAGTTTTATTTTTAATAAATTTATAGTCAATTGCTTCAGCTTCTCTTTGTCACTCCATCCGATCCATGACCAACAACGGTCATTAGCCCGTTTTACTACAT